TCGATATTTTCACGATAAAATGGCTCTGTAAATGCATAAAAATGCATTTACAGAGTGAAATTAGTGTGTGGAATAAGAATGTCTTTGACAATTTAGCTGGCAAAAGACACGAAAAATCGTCGATTCTTTCGTATTTGAAGCAATTTGGAAATCGTAGAAGAATAGAATTTAACATTAGTATATAATAAAAAATAAATATTGAAAATTGTAACGAGATAATTATGGGTAATGGATATATTATATCTAAATAAATAGATGTTATATGTTTTTATCAAAGCAAGAATTGGCATTTAGAGAGCATATGGAATATATTGGATCTAATAACAGAGGTAATTATAATGAACTTGTTTATTAAGTACGTCAGATAAATAATCTATTAAAAATACATTTAAAGAAAGAATTAACTGATTGCCCTTGGATGTCGTCTTCTTATAGAAACACAGCTTCCCTATCATCAAATGTCACGGCACGCCCCTGATATACTATATACATATGCGCAGTTTGGCAACCTTACGCATATACAGTAATATCCAGATTTCATTTTTCTAAATTTTCCAATATAGTGAACGTTTTTACTTGTGATTTGGGAAGAAATTTCCCAAAGTTTTTGTTAAATTTTGCCTCTGTCACTATTAGTATTTAATTACTATATTTAACACATTACGTGCATTTGATAAAAATTTTCTATTACATATAATATATGTTATAAATATTACCGGTATAAGTTTATTAAAATATCCATTGGCATTAGAATAATTTTATATACAAATATTTAACAATTAATTTTGTTATTTCTTTACATTAATAAAAAAAATAAAATTTTTATTACAAAAAAATGTTTGTAATATTTTTACAACAGAGAGCGCTTTTGACAAGATGGCGAACGATGTAGAGGGAATGAACACGAGTGGTTCCTTTTAATAAGTCAATGATTGGAAATATTAAATGTGAAGCACGATGAACAGTGTAAGCAGCGAATGTGGAGAATTGAAGCGACAGTATGATTCTTGTTTTAATTCGTGGTTTGTTGATAAATTCCTAAAAGGAGAGAAAAATGATTCTTGTGCTGCATTATTCAAGCTTTACCAAGATTGCGTCAAGGTATTATTATTATTATTTCTATTATTTAAAATTTTGTTGTCCTTAATTTATCAAGCATTCTTTTTACCAAGAATAGATTTACGTATATGCACTTAGAGTTGTTACTAAAGAGCACGACATACAGCTTCTTCGTCTGGCATTATGGGCCTTGGAGGCCCTTAGCCGCAGTCACAATTCTTCTCCATCTAGTTCGTTCTATAGCCTGCCTCTGCCAATCTTTGATTCTGAGGTCTTGAAGATCTTCAGTGACCCATCTATCCACCTTTTTCTGGGACGGCCTCTTCCCTTTTCCCTCATAGTGGAGCTCTCATGATGCTGCTCCCATTGTAGAAAGCCTTCTGACATGGCCTAGCCACTGTAATCTTCTGACCTTAATCACCTGTGTGATGATGGGCTTGCTGTAGGTTTGTAAGGAACCAAGTCTGAGCTTTATTTTTATTTTACTTTTATTTTGCTTTCATTATATTTTGTTTGGGGCTTATGTTTATTTAAGACGAAGGTTTCCTCACCATTCACCTTAGTAACTTAAAAATAGAAGAAAAACCAACTCACCGACGAAAGAAAAGCGCCGTAGAAAAACTCGCGCACACTTGCGCTTCCCGAGCGGAAAAAAGTAAGTCCGCACCGAGAAAAAGGGGGGGGAGACCCCACAACCCAGTTAGGAATCGCTAAACCTTAAAATGATAAAGCATCCCGATAATTGTTAAAAAGAATAATGTAAAAGGTTAGCGAAGTATTGTCGGAAAATAATCTGCCAGATAAACAAGAAAAATTTAATGTTACAGATAAGTATGTAAATGAGGAGAGTGAGCTCATTCAGAATTGTGACGTCACCTCACACTATAAAGCCTCTAACTCAAGTGAAAACGAACGAGGTGAATTCCTGATAGCTTTGGTGAGCTTATAGCAGTGAACGAGAGAGGTGTCCGATAGGATTTTGAAGTTATTCGATTTGTGGATCGACAATTATAGAAAGTCTTGAGAGTTGAGGAAATAGGTTCCTAGTATATTGAGGTGACGATTAGGATCTTTAATTTATAAGAATTATTGTTTATAAGTTAATTCTTTGATTTTGTCGAATTCCAAAGGGGAATAGAATTAAGTTAGAAATAGATTGATTTGAGTTTGTCGGATTGATTCTTGTTGAGTTCCATTGAATAAATTATTGTTTGATTTTTACTAAATACTGTATAGAATTTATTAATAGAAGTTTAATTAAATATTTGATTTTGTTATTGACAAACTTTGTCATTATTTAATTCGGTGCACGCTTAAAGTCCAGGCCTGGCACACTAACGCGAATCCGCGTAAAGTACCCGTTAGGGAACGGCTATTTCCGGCACACAGTAGTGTCGATAATCGTTGGAAAGTCGGAAAAATAAAATATTACTTTACAGGTTGTCTGCAGTTCCTGGTTTGTTCGCCTCCATATTGGTTCTCCATTGACCACAATACCATCATCATCATAGTCTTCCACAGGTCCAATGATTTTCCTTAGTACAGTGGGTGATCGGTTAATGAACATAATCCATTCCAAGACTTTGTTCGCTATCCAAATTGTTCGTTAACTGATTATGAATTTACCGTAGGTTTGTATGGGAATTTGATTAATTCGTTCTGGAGACCCCAAAAAATAAAAAAATATACTTTCTTACTACATTTGCTTATATGTAATAGTAAAATTACATATATACACAGACTTCATTTTTATTAGTTATGTTTTTTTGTTTGTGGGGTTAAATAATCTGTCTAATGTCAATTGCTTTTCTCTTCTTCAGGATTTTCAGAATTAATAACATTGTAATTGTAGAGATCCTGCCATTCTAAGACCGTTGATCTGACATCCCCCACTTCTTCAAAAGATCTTTAATTAATAGCAGATATCAGCATTAATCTTCTTTTTCATAGTAAAACATATCTCGCCAAGTTTCTTGGTGTTCTCTATTCAAGAGTTCTTGGCGTTTTTCTGTCATCAGATCCGTTTCGGGTTCCATTATGAGCTCTTCAATGTTCTTTATTTCTCAGATGTAATTTTTGTTACTTCTTTAGCTGCTTGAGTCTTCTTGATTATACTGTATCTTTCTTAGATAAGATTGAACTGTGCCCTAATGTAGATTTGTTCAAGCCATATTACCCAGCAACATTAGACATCTTCTGCCCACTCTCTACCTTTGCTATTATACTCTCATCTTCTGAAAATAAAAACAGACGCAAAACTTAATGAGTGCCTGCCCAACAGTCTCGCAAATACTATAAAAGAATTGTTTGTCAGAAAAATAAAAGGTTGGAATTACAAGGGAGTATTTCAAAGTTCGAGGGATACTATCTAATCAGTATATATCGGGTTGAGCGTAGACATTGATGTCTCCTGTGCTCCAAAAAGTTACCGGAAAACAAAGGAAAATCAGTCAGTATTTGCTATTTTCATCGCTTCTTTTATTGTTTGTTCGGTGAAGTGTTCGTTGTCCGATCATAAAAATCTTTTGCAAAAGTGTTTGTTATCCGATTTGTTCATTAACTGATCTGTTTGTTAACCGATCACCCACTGTATTTTGTTTTCAAATCTCTGTAGTTGTAGTTTCTCCTGCTTTGTCATTGGCCATGTTTCACATTCATACAGAATTGCAAGTCTAATCAGTGACTCATATACAGTTAACTTCATTCTTTTTACTAAGGAGTGTGCTTTTTAGTATGTTTGTTAGCCCAAAACAGATTTTGCTTGCTTAGCAAGCGAGTCCCTATCTCCTTGATGTCATTGTTTCTCTTTGTCAATCCTTAAGTACTTGAAGGATTCCATAGTATTGTTCCATAGCTGAATATTGTCTATAGTTAGATATTTAGATTAAATTTCAGATGCATGTACTGTCATGGCGGCAGTCTTGACTGTTCGTACTCCCGTCAGATTGATACATACTAGTTATTGAGACCAGTGTGTTCAAGAACTACCGTGAATCAATAACTAGTGACGTTTGACACTCAGCAGCCTGCCGGCGGCTCCCCTCCAGGAGGAGTCTGTTAGGAGTACGAACAGTCGGGACCGCCACCATGACAATACACGCATCTGAAATTTAACTGACGTTTATTGTGGGATTCTCCTTTTTAGAAATAACCATGTATTTAGTCTTCTCTTTGTTGATGATCAGACCCATGCCCTCGGCAACTGTTTCTAATTTTGACATTAACCTTGTCTCCTCCTCTTGAGATGTTCTAATTATGACAATGTCATCCACATATGCTAGTAGTGACAGTTTGTCTGTTGAGTCATTTTCCTTTTCATTTTGTATCTCCTGGGCTATTCTGACTACTTTTTCTATAGTGATGTTAGAGGAGACAGGGCATTTCCCTGTTTCAATCTTGTTTTGCTCTGGAAGTTGTCCAACCTTGTGGTCCTAGTTTTTACTGTATATCACACCTCATTCGTGCAAATTTCCACAATTCTGGAGAGTTTGTCTGGTATCTCAAACTCCTTCGTGGCCTTTCACACTGATTGCCTGTGGATGCTATCATATTGAAAATTGATGAACAGCAGGTGTGTGTTGACATTGTATTCCCAGTTCTTCTCGAGAACCTGTCTTAATGCGAAGATTTGATCGGTTGTGGATCTATTTTTTCGAAAATCTGATATTCACCCATGATTCCTCCATGTATGGAGTCAATCTCTTCATAACTAGAGATGATAGGATCTTGTATGTCACTTAGAGTAGAGAGATTGCCCTGTCTCCAGATTTGCAGAATCAGATTATGGATTGTCTTTGCAATCTGCTGTTCACATATTTGATGAGCTTGGGTTTGATATTGGCAGTTTCTGCAGCTTTGTGATTATGGAGATTTTGTATGATAACCTGAATTTCACTGTGAGTAGGTTCTTTAACTTCTGATTAGTCAGTGTGTTTTGGGAGGAATGTAGCTGGAGTCATGGGGTCTGGACAATTCAGGAGATCCTGGAAATATACTTTCCATCTTTTGGAAACTTCCTGTTTGTTGGCTAACAACCTCCCACATTCATCCTTGATGACCAGGGGTTTTAGTTGATGTGTGTTGTATAGAGTTGTAATGTCTCTGAAAAAGTCTCTCACTATCTGTTTCTTATGATTATTCTCTGCTTCCTCAATCAAATCTGTGAGAAAATTCCTTTTCTGCTGTCTAATAGTCTTCTTAGAATGTTTTGATGCCTTACCATATTGGTATTTGATGTGTAGGTCTTCTGGGTTGTCCAGCCAATTCATTCTTGCTTTTTTTTTTTAATTTACCATTTCCACACATATGCTGTTAAACTATGGTTTCTTGGCCTGTATTCTCTAGATAAGGTTTTTATGGCTATTTTTAAGATGGATGTATGCATTGCCTTCCAGGCTTGGTTCCCTTTCCATCTCATCCATCATATTGAATTCTAGAGCCTTTCCTATTATTTCCTGATAATGTTGTATGGTGTCATTAGCTTTCAGTTTATGTACAGTACATCATATGAAAAATGATGGTTTTGCTTGTCCTTCGTCATTACCCAGAGTTTCAATTTTATGCTGGCTTTCGACAGGAAGCTTCTGTTCTGTTTTCTGAGACTATGTATATTTTTTATGCTATTACAGTATCTCCAGTTAATGAGTATATGATCCATTTGGTTCCTAGTTTTGCCATCTGGGGATACCCATGTTTGTTTGTGAATGGCTTTTCTATGGAAATTAGTACTATGTATTATCAGATTTCTAGTGCTGGCTTGGTTGATAAGTCCATTATCATCGGTTGTCTCATCCAGGCTCTCCTTTCCTATGGTGTATTTGAAACACCACTCTTTGCCTATTTTAGCATTAAGGTCCCCAAGAAACATCATTATGTCATGCATTGGAACCCCTGCCAGTATGTTCTCCAGTTTCTCAAAGAATTTGTCTTTGTTTCCTCTGTTGTGGACTTCTGTGGGAGTCTGGGTGTTGACCAGTGTGATATTGAACCACCAGCCTCTCATTCTGCACTTGGAAATTCTCTCAGAAATGCATTCAAATGCC